TAATGATGCTGAAAATACAGCTGCGCATCACAGAAATAAATTACAGTTTAACAGATATTCACATAGAAAACAGCTGTTTTAAATTGTATTAATATGTTACAATTTTACTGTATTTTTGATCAAATAAATGCAGCCTTGATGAGCAGAAGAGACTTCTTTCAAAAACAATACAAAGTCTTATTGATCCCTAAACTCTGAATGGGAGTATGTATATGTGTATTTATGTGTATATATTTACATACACACACACGATACGGATCAATTGCCACAGGTGTATAAACACTAGTCATGCAGTCTGCATTTATAAACGTTTGTGGAAAAAAAACAAGTGGTTCTGAAGAGCTCAGAGCATGGGACTGTGATAGGATAATGCTTATCTGATTATGATAACACTTCAGTCTGATGGGTGAGTCTGGGTTTGATGATTTCAGGAGAACATCATGTCTGACTGCATTGTGTCGACTGTAGAGTTTGGTGAAGGAGGGATGATGGTGTGGGGCTGTTTTTCAGAGGATGGCCTGATGAAGGGAAATCAAGACATTCTGGACAATGCTGTGCTTCCAACTTTGTGAGATCAGTTTGAGGAAGAGCCTTTCTATTCCTGCACGAAGCAAGGTCCATAAAGACACGGTTGGATGAGTCTTGTGTGGAAGAACAAAATCCTGTTCTCAAACCTATAAGTGATGGCTGCTTTCGAAGCACTGCTTCGTGAAGCTTCGAAACTAGACATTTTTAACGAGACATTTGTGTAATTAAAAGGATGAGAAGAAAGGGGTTAATAGTCTCTTGCTGGCCTCTATATAGAAGCTGTCCATAAAACAAACAAAGCAAGCCCTGCAAATTAATATAACATATTTTAAAACCACATATTATACAGACACTTCATATTTAATGGTATTTTATTATTTTTATTGCATTTAATGTAGTATACTTTCAATAAAGCATATGCAATGGGTTTTAAAAGCTGTTTTACGCACGTTTTAGCCTGAGTTTTTGTTGCATTTACACACTTTGGACCAGCAGGCGTCACCAGCGAGCGGTGCTTCGAACGCTTCGAAACAGTGAGTCGTTTTGCGAATCAATTGATTCGAAGCTTCGAAAAGGTTCGTTTCTCCCATCACTACTCAAACCCATCAAACAACATCTTTAGGATGAACAGGAACGGAGACCCTAACCTTCTCATCCAACATCAGTGTCTGACCTCACAAATGCTCTACTGGATGAATGAGCAAAAAGTCCCACAAAAAACATTCCCGATGTGAAAGTTCAGCTCCTCCCCTCAGATACCGTAAAACACACAATATAAAGGCCTTAAAACCTCACTGTTACACAATACAACCTTTATCGACACGAACCCCTGTGAAGCTTCGAAAAGGTTCGTTTCTCCCATCACTACTCAAACCCATCAAACAACATCTTTAGGATGAACAGGAACGGAGACCCTAACCTTCTCATCCAACATCAGTGTCTGACCTCACAAATGCTCTACTGGATGAATGAGCAAAAAGTCCCACAAAAAACACTCAAAAACACTCAAAATCTTGTGAAGAGCTTCACAGAAGAGTTCATGTCAATGTGTTTAATGCAAAGTCAATGTCTGGAGTCTCATCTCATGTGAATGGAAGCCACTTTAATGCCATCATCAGAAAAGGCTGTTAACTTTTCAATTAGTATAAAATGACTTGAGTGCACCTTTAAACATCTTAAAGTTCATCAAAACACCTGCCCTCCAAACCATTATAGGTTCAATTATAGGTGAAGTTTATCATGTTTGACTCATTTATTCTCTTTAATGAATGAATGTTACCTCTGTCTATGAAGTCTGTGACCGTCAGTCCTCCGCTCGAATCCGGTTCATTTCAGACTAACGCGGATCTGTCTCCTTTTCTTCCCTTCTCCTTTGCTGGATGACATGATGTTTGATGTGTGTTAAACACACACACTCTCACACACACACACACACTCACTCTCTCACTCACACTCTCTCACACACACACACACACACACAC